TTTTTTTTTTTTTTTTTTTTTTTTTTTAACCCGTACCCACTCCCCTCCTCCAACTTTCTTCCAGGAATGTGAATACGCAGGCTGGAGTTCTAGCAGTCATCTTGGACAGTGAGACAACCTTGTAAATGGAAGGTACAGGTTAAAGAAGGTAGAGCAAAAGAAAAAGACTGAGCTGGATACCTGATGTCACTGTGGAACCACGATAATACCAGCTCTGGGCTTGTTTCATATGAAAGAGAAATAAATATCTCCCTTGGTTAAGCGAACATTACTAACTGCTTCTGTTATTAGCAGATCAACACAATTTCTAACTGATAGCAGATTGGGTAGAAGGAGAAAGCCTGAAATTGAATTAACTCAAATGTAGATCAAATTAACAAAAGTAACACTTCTTCCCACCTACGGTCTTTGTAGAAGAGGCCTGGTGGTGCAAATGGTTAAGCACTTGGCTGCTAATTGGTTTGAACCCACCCAGCAGCTCCACAGGAGAAAGACCTGGCAACCTGCTTCCATAAAGATTACAGCCAAGAAAACCCTACGGGAGAGTTCTACTCTGTCACATGGGGTCTCTATGAGTCAAAACCAATTCGATGGCACCTAACAACATCATAGTCTTTGTTGGTTGGACATAGTCCCTTCTTCTTCCTACCTGACCACTGCAGAAGGATCAAGGTAGCAGCGACTTTCCAGGTCCCAAGTAATCCTTTTCTTTATGCACTCTGCTTGGGTCCTAAATTCTCTGTCCTGTAGAATAAGACAGAACTCTGTTCTCTCTGTGTGACGGAGTGTCATCCTGCTCAATCTGTGGAGGCATTCCTTTAATGGATTTGATCGTGACACTTTTATTACTTCTACTACTACTACTATAGGTACTATTAACTACTACTACTGCAACTACTACCACCACTTTAAATTTCATGGTACTTAACTATATTAATAAAGTACTTTAGGATACATTACTTATATAAATCTTACATCAGCCCAGTACTAAGTGCCAAACATTCACACACATACCCTCAATCAGTGATTCTCAACTCTAGAAGCTTATTAGAATCATCTGGGAGTTTCTAAAAAAAACATCAACAGCAACCAATGTCACAAAACAATCTGTATATTAACTGTTTAATGAGAAACTAATTTGCTCTATAAACTTTCACCTAAAGCACAATTAAAAAAAAAATCAATGACTGCGTATTGGTATTATTTTACAAGTAAATTCTTATGTAATTGATATGTGGTGAGGCTTGGAAACTGTCATTGTTTTAAAAGCTTCCCAGGTGATTCTAATGTGTAGCCAGGGTTGAGAACTACTGATTCAAATGACACTGGCTAAATAAAATATTAATCTAAGGATGATATGAGTTTTCACTAATCACAATGATGATAAAAAAATATTGCACAGCATTTTTCAACTATTGCTAGCCTTCTCTCTTGCACTTAAAATATTTAGTCAGATATTAAAAATAACTCATCCACTCCAAGATAATCTTTAAAACTTAAACCTTAAACCAAAAATATTCTCTGAAGTCTTCTTAAAACCCAACAATAGTTTAGCTTAACTAGTAAAGAATGTCTGCCTTAAGCATTGTGCTTTTTTAAAGATCTATCTATATGGGATCAAACTGGCAACAGTAACTTGAAAGATGAGATAGGAAACTTAGGGGACAGTATGCTTATGTTAATCGGGGAAGAACAACTTGGAAAAGGAGGGTGAGAACGGCTGCACAACTCAAAGAACGTAATCGGTGACACTGAACTGTACATGTACAAATTGCTGAATTGGTGGGGTATGTTCTGTGTATATTCTCAACAACAACAAAAATAAATTATAAAAAGTAAAAAAAAATTCAACCATCCTTATTTTACAAAGTGTTTTATTGAATGTTTTCACTAATGATTTACAAGTGTTTTTACACCATTTTCTATGCCCTTGGCTAAAATGTGTTACAACAAAATATGTGAAAAACAGATTTAATTTCAACCTAAATGTCCACAGTAGGAGACTCATTAAGTAAGTTATGCCCATACAATGACATAACATATAGCAAGGATAAACAAAGAAAAAGAATGAGAGTGGTGTTTATGTAGTGATGTGGAAAATTTTCCAAGATACACTATAAAGTGAAAAAGCAAGTTGCAAAACAGTATGCATAACAGGCTATTTGTGTAAAAAAATGATGGGAAAAGAATGTGTATGTGTACATATGTATGAGTGTGTGTGTGCACAAAACAAAAGCTGACATATTCCCGTTCCATTATGAAGCACTTCATATGTGATAGTTTAAAAAAATCCTTTATGTCATGAAATAGAGCAAAAATAACAGGGTCTTCCCAACAATTTCTAGTTCCAAAAATAATAATACTGAGTATTTCCTGTAAATCTGGACTCCCTAAAGAAAGACAATTTTATCCCTAACTTTTACTATACTGGTGTCTGAAGATATTTTATGACCTTTGGAAATGTGATAAGTAAATGAAAACGTTGCAGTTTTTCCACCACGAACAGACTAATGTAAACTCTGTAACCTTGGTAATTTTGTGTTGTTTCTTTTAAGCACTTGGTATTTTTTATTTGGTGAACCAGTCCTGAAGTCTGACTCCCTGGCACTCTTTGCAAGGAAACTTTTTCCTTCCTTTTCTAAATGCTTCTGTCTCTGAGTCTTCCTTTGACTGCATGTATTTGCTTTTATATGCACAAAAGTTATCTGAAAGAAACACAAATTAATAACACAGGTGACTACTAGGATAAAGAGCTAGGAAAGAATTAGGACAAATCAAGATGGAGCAGGATTCATTGCATATCTCTTAATTTTTACTTTGAACTGTGATTATATTATTATCTATTCAAAAATAAATAAATTTAAAATAGAATAACGAAATTTGATTAAAAAAATTTTGTTTGCTAGACTTAAGATGTTAGGAGACTTTTTTTCCATCAAACTTACATGTATACTTTATTTTTGACACACAATTTTTTAAAAATTAATAATATTAAAAATACTGAAGCTTCTACTACACTTTTTAAAACATAAATCAGGTAATTGTTTTGACAGGTGACATAAATTATAATAATTCACAAAAAACTTTTATCATCCGTCAGTGTACTGAGTTTATCACAAAAACCTGCATAATTCAGCCTCTCTCACCTCAGGGTGGTTAAGTTCTCCTTCTTCTTCCTCATAGGGACCACCAACGATGTATGCATCAGGAATGTTATTAGCTCCTGGTGCCAGAATGTTGGCAATAGGCCATTTTTTGGGCCGGGGAACAGGTTCTCTTTCCCCTCCAACCTTCAGAGTTCCATTCTTGAATAATATGGGATAATCTTTCTACAGAAATAAATACCATATGCCAAGAAAAGTTATAAAATGCTTTACAATGGACAGATTACTGAAATATCTTTTCAGTGGAATACTGGGTACTGTCTAACAGATTCTTCCATGATTACCTAACTCCCAAGACTGGGCTATGCCTTTCATAATCTTTGAACTATTTTATAACTCTGTCATTTGTAGAAAATTGATAATGAAAATTATTATTGTCTATAAATATGCAAATATATTTTGTCTAGTAGATATGCAATTGATTATTGCCCTGTGGCTATTGATCAGTTTTGAAATATTAGCAACTTCTAATATTTCTTCAGACTCTCCTCTGAACCAGTTTTTCATTTTATTGATTCTCTCATTAATTACTTAAAACCTCTGATCGAATACTTTGTCATTTTACATTTATATAAGAATCTTGACTTACCTTTTTAAAAATTATTACTTAAAAAACAAACCTAAATCTGACAAAAGGCTAAAAATACAGACATTTTTATATAATTTACCAAAAACATATTTGCAATGGAAATGGTTAAAAGATAAAGGCAATTTAAAGGAGAAAATTTTTAACTCCAACATTTGAATAAAAAGATACTGTATCTCACTAATACTCCATGAAACTCAAATTAAAACAATAAGATACCATTTTAAACCATTAAAAAAAAAAAAGAAGAAAAAAACCATTGCTGTTGAGTTGGTTCTGACTCGTAACAACCCTAAAGGACAGAGCAGAACTGCCCTATAGGGTTTCCAAGGAGTGGCTGGTGGACTCGAACTGCCAGTCTTTTGGTTAGCAGCCATAGCTTACCAAAGCTCTCAACGACAGTGCCACCAGGGATCCTTTAAACCATTAGACTGGCAAAATTAAAGTCTAAAAATATCAAGTACTGGCAAGAATGTGAAAAGAAATGGTATTCTTAAAAACAGCTTGGAAGTGTAAATTGCTATCACTGTGGAAAACAATTTTGTAGCCTTTAATACAACTTAAATCTGTATATCCTATAACCTAACAGTTCTAGTTCTTTGGGTTAACCTTAAAAGACTTTTGGGAAGGAGGAGTACTTCTGGAATGGCAGGGTGAAGACCTCTGAAAATTCACTCCTCCATAAAAGCAATGAGAACACTGGCAAAAATGATCAAGATCAACTTTTTCAGAACTTTGGAAATTAACTTGAGGCCTACAAATATCAGAAGTGTGTTTATTAAAGAAGAACACTGAATCCCAATAAGAACAGTGATCTTGTGTTTGCACCACCCAGGGACTCAGAAAGGAGAACTCTAACTGAGCTAGTCCTGAAGGGTAGGTAAGATTTTTGCCATAGTGAGGTTGGGGAAGATGGACATTCTAGTCAGAAGGACAAATATTAAATGTACAAATGTAGAAAAATTATCTAATACTTTTGGGGAATACCAATAGATCCGTCTGATTGGAGGACAGGTTGTGTAAAAAGAAGAAATAAATGTGGAAAAACAGGATGGGGATAGACTACATAAGCATAAATACAGGTATAACTAAGCTACACCTGCACGGCAGGCTAGAGTTTGGACTTTGATTTAAATGTCTAAAACTGAAGCCATAAAAGCACTAACTGGAAACCTAGGACTTTCTAAACATGGTAATAAATACAGAAACTACAAAGCAGGAACAGTAACATTCTACTGCCTAAAAACTTAAAAATTTTTTTTTATTGATGCAGTTTAAATGAAGTTTACATTTCAAGTTAGTCTCCCATACAAAAATTTATACATACATTGTTATGTGACCCTAATTGCTCTCCCCATACTGTGACAGCACACTCCTCCTTTCCACCCCTGATTCCCCATGTCCATCAGCCAGCTCCTAACCCTCTCTGCCCTCCCACCTCACCTCCGGACAGAAGCTGCCCGTTTAGTCTCTTGTATCTCCTTGAGCTAAGACACACACTCCTCACAAGTATCACTTTATGTCCCACAGTCCAGTGCAATCCCTGTCTGAAGAGTTGGCCTCAGAAATTGTTTTAGTTCTGGGCTGATAGAGAATCCAGGGGCCATGCTTTCTGGGGTTCCTCCAGTCTCAGATCACTAAGTCTGGTCTTCTTACTAGAATTTGAGTTCCGCACCCCACCTTTATCCTGACTCCATGAGAGACTCTCTGTTGTGTTCCCTGTCAGGGTGGTCATTGGTGGTAGCCAGGCACCATCTAGTTCTGTTCTCAGGCTGATGAAGTCTCTGGTTTATGTGGCCCTTTCTGTCTCTTGGGCTAATACTTTCCATGTGCCTTTGGTATTCTTCATTCTCCTTTACTCCAGGTGGTTGGGACCAACTGACGCATCTTAGACGGCTGCTTGCAAGCTTTTAAGACCCCCGACACCACTCACCAAAGTAGGATGCAGAACATTTTCTTAATAAGCTTTGTTATGCCAGTCGACCTAGATGTCCCCTGAATGTATGGTCCCCAGACCCCTACCCGGGCTACTCCGTCCAAGTGTTTGATTCTATTCAGGAAACTTCTTAGCTTTGGTTTAGTCCAGTTGTGCTGACTTCCCCTGTACTGTGTGCTGTCCTTCCCTTCACAAAGATAATTCTTATCTACTATGTAGTTAGTAAATAACCCTCACCCAGCCACCCTCGTAACCATCAAAGAATGTTTTCTTCTGTGTTTAAAGCTTTTCTTGAGTTCTTGTAATAGTGGTCTTATACAATATTTGTCCTTCTGTGACTGTCTAAATTCACTCAGCATAATGACCTCCAGCTTCCTCCATGTTACGTTTCATGGCTTCACCATTGTTCTTTATTGTTGTGTAGTATTCCACTGTGTGGATATACCATAGTTTGTTTATCCATTCATCCGTTGATGGGCACCTAGGTTGTTTCCATCTTTTTGCTATTGTGAACAGCGCTGCAATGAACATGGGTGTGCATATATCTATTGGCGTGATGGCTCTTATTTCTCTAGGATATATTCCATGGAGTGGGATAGCTGGATCATATGGTTCTTCTATTTCCAACTTTTTAAGGAAGCACCAAATCAATTTCCAAAGTGGTTGTTCCATTTTACATTCCCACCAACAGTGTATTAGTGTTCCAGTCTCTCCACAACCTCTCCGGCATTTATTATTTTGTGTTTTTTGAATTAATGCTAGCCTTGTTGGGGTGAGATATCTCATTGTAGTTTTGATCT